TTAGGTATATACCCTTGTACTCTCTCTCTATTCAACAATTCTTCAGTTCTAAGACCATCCTCCCCCTTCCCCTCCGTTTCGCTCTTCCCCTCCCCTCGGTTTGATTCCCTCTCCTTTCTCCCCCCATTTTTTATTCCCCCCTCATGTTTAAGGCAACCCTGAATGCGTTCGGTGAACCCTGGGATTTTCAGGGTTCTTGATTTCTGAACACTTACTGTTGGAAATATCTCAAAGAACTTAAGCGTTTCTGAAGTGTAACACTACACTCGAGGAAGACTACAAGGGAGCACGCGAGTCAACGGAGGTTACACGAGGGGGCGGACAAAGAATGCGAAAAGACTCGAAAGGTCGCAACTGGAGGTTGCGACTGACCGTTACAACATCACGGATGGTAACCGAAGCGGCAGTCGAGTCGCTGTGCGACTCGATAAACCGTTCCTGTAACTGTACTCTACAACTGCTTTCTTATCTTCTATATATTGCTGTATGCTTGTTTCTTTAATCAATCACTTGTTCTCACATACTAGTACAAGGGTTCAACTGCCTCAACTTCCGCTGCACTACTCCAAGTCTCTACAGCTGGGACTTAGTCTCTGCAAAAGATCCTAAGGGCAATTTTTTCAGCCCAACATGGTATGAGAGCTGGTCAGAGACCAAACTCCCAGCAACTACGCTCCATCAACAACCTGCAACTCAACTCAATTCAACGACTTCATTGATCACAAGACATGGACAGCAAGGGCAAGAAAGTCTCTACGGGCTCACCCAGCGCCCAAGAAACTCAACACGGCAACTCTGGTCTGCACACCTCAGGACTGCAGACAGAGACCGGGACTGCTCAAGAAACAACGGGAAGAGCACCAGAGATGGTGACTCCGTCTCCCTCTTCAAGTGTGGACCCGAATCTCATGGAGAGATTCTTCAGCTTCATGTCACACTTCGACCAGCAGCAGCAGACAAGGACACCTGCGCACTCAACACAGAGCAATGGAGGGAACATGGGATTAGCGCCGATGAGCCTCGACAACTCATCCTTCGGGCGACACAATCAAGCACCTACTTTTGCGCCTTATCACTCTTCACCGGGGACGTTCGAGTTCATGCCGCCCCGTGCCCAGCCAACAGCAGCTGCATCACAACAAACACCGAACGAAATCTTAAGCCTTCAGGCACAGTTCTCACACGTAATTAAACTTCAGACATCCTCACCGTTCAACGGACACGACTTCTTTACCTGGAGCTTCGAGTTCGAGCTGCTGATGGAGGCCGCGCATCTTCTGGGATACTTCAACGGGTCCCTGCCATTCCCAAGCAACGGCACTGGGAAGGAACAAGAGATCTTCACGTATCAGTCGCTGCTGGCGTATACGGTACTCCTGAGAAACCTGTCACCACAAGAGCAGCAGAGCATCAGAACGTATCGAAGTTATGGAAACTCCGCGGAACTCGCATGGCATCATCTCAAGTGCCTCTATCAAGCAAACGACAGCGTGACACAAAGCAGACTCATGCAACAGCTGACAACAATACAGATGAAGACCGGGGAAAAGGCGATGCAGTATATGAGTCGCTGCCAGACCCTCCGCGACCGCCTGCTTCGGTGCGGAGGAACGATCACTGAAGAAAGCTTCGTGACACTTGTCCTCGCCGGGCTCGGGCCAGAATGGAGAACCACACGATCACTTCTTCGAGCCCACGGAAGAATTTCGGAGATGCACCTCTGCGCCGAGCTTCACGCTGAACAACAGGAGATGGATCTGTTCGAGGAAAGACAACCAAGAAAGCAACAGCAGTTAGTCTTCTACACTCAACGAAGAAACGACAACACCTACAATCGACGCGGCAAGCAAGAACGCGACAACAGGGGACTTACCTTCGTGCCGCTGTTCTGCCACAACTGCCAGACTTCCGGGCACTCCAAGGTCAACTGCAACCGTCCTCGCGTTTACCGTCCAGCAGACCCACAAGTCACTTCCACTCAAGCAAGTCCCCCAAGGCGCTCTTCAACATCTGCACAACAAACACCAAACATCATCAATTGCATGGTACACATCGACAACTGCGCACCCGGATCACCACCCACCTACGCGCCAGACGAAGAAGAGCTGCCGCCACCGCGCTCACAAGGCCTTCAAGTCAATCCAACATATGCTGCGGTCGCCAACGCCGAACCCACCGGGCGAAACACCTGGTTCTTGGACAGCTGCTGCGGTCAACACATGTGCTCCTCGGGACGCTTCGTGCAACAGGAGAAACGCCTCAACCGCGACGTCGTCATCACCGTCGCCAACAACGAAAACCTGAAGACAAACAGACAAGGCGTAGTTCAGTTACAATCGATGGAGACAAACGTCATACTTCAGCTCAACAAAGTGCTCATTGTCGACAATCTGGGATACAACCTACTAAGCGTAAGCCAACTAATGGCCAAGGGGATTCACCTGGAGTGCGACTCCTACTCCAACGAGTTTCGACTTTACCACGGGAAGGGCGGCCTCTTCATCGGTCGTGCCCTCCTGAAGTCCGGCGTCTTCGTGTTGGACTTCGTCCCCGACCGCGGTACTGCCGACAGCGACGGTATCGTATCATTCGCCGCCTGGACTCACCCGCCGGATCTTGATCCCGACTTCGACAGTGACGGCTTCTGGCACTCCAACACCATACCTGCAGCAGAGAGAACACGAGCATTAGCAGTTATCAGACAAGAAAGACAAGTACCCGCACGTGTCCTAACAAAACCATCACCTGCAGTATCGGCAGCAGGACCCAGCCGAGTACCACCACCAGCGACACGAGGACCACCAACCGAAGCAGACCAACTTATGCCCGCCACACGAGAAGCTTGTCGAAGTCCCGCCTCGGTCGTCGCGTTCTTCTCCAACGCCGACATCTACCACCGCTCGCCTGGTCACCGCGCTCCCGACGACATCTGGCACCAACGTCTCGGACATCCTGCAAACAGCACGATACTTCAAACAATCCAAGCAGATGTGTTAGAACGCAAACGCCTTCTTGTACGCACCTGTGGACGCCGAAATCTTCGTCGAACAACCCCACGGATTCATCGACGACCCTTCAAAAGTATGCCAGCTGGAAAAATCCCTTTACGGGATCAAGCAAGCCCCACGGCTCTGGCAGCAGCACCTTCACGGCCGGCTCGTAAAAATCGGATTCCTACAGTTACCACATGACCAAGGCATGTACCGACTGCAGAAGGGAAGAGATTACATTCTGCTCATAGTCTACGTCGACGACCTGCTCTACATCGGTTCTACCACCGACATCGTCACCTGGTTCGAAGGGGAGCTGAAAGGGGACCTGACGCTCACGGTGTCCGACTCAGTGACCCAGTACTTGGGACTAAATGTCGTCGAAGACAACTCGGCGTTCTACCTACACGCTGGAAAGTACGCAGGCACTGTCGCGAAGAGATTCGGACTGACGCCGACTACGGTCCCGACTCCCTACCGCTACGGAAACAACAACAGCGCCTCCGCAAAACTCCCCGCGAAGCAAATCCAGGAGTATCAACAGAAGCTCGGTTGCCTACTATTCGCAGCAGTCACCTGCCGACCCGACCTGTCCTATAGTGCGAGTCAACTAGCGACGCATCTGAAGCAACCGGAACAGGAAGATCTCGAGGAACTCAACCGGGCACTACTCTACTTCGTCTCCACGCCGACGATCGGACTTACCTACAGCAAAGCGACAACACCGTCCGTACAACTACTCGGATACGTCGACGCCGACCACGCGGGAGACAGGGAAAATCGACGATCTAGGACGGGCTACATCTACCGACTAGAACCCATCGGAACTATCTCCTGGCAGTCGAGCAAGCAGGAGTTAATCGCACTATCCTCGGCTGAAGCAGAGTACATCGCCCTTTGTACTGCGACCAAGGAAGGACTCTACCTACGAGAGTTACTCGAGGAAGCGAAGATCGCGACCCTACCCGCCTTCTCACTCCTCTGCGACAACCAATCCGCGATCAAAATCGCGAACAAGGATGGCTTCGCCAACCGAACCAAGCACATCGCCCTACGGTACTTCTTCGTCAAGGATGAAATCGCGAAGGGGAGACTTCAACTCAGTTACTGCCCGACGACAGAAATGGCCGCAGACTATTTGACGAAGAAATTGGCGAAGACAAAATTCGACCACTGCATGCTGCTGACCGGACAGACAAACGTCACCAGATCCGAACATAACAGCACTCGAGAAACGAAGGGGAGTGTTGGAAATATCTCAAAGAACTTAAGCGTTTCTGAAGTGTAACACTACACTCGAGGAAGACTACAAGGGAGCACGCGAGTCAACGGAGGTTACACGAGGGGGCGGACAAAGAATGCGAAAAGACTCGAAAGGTCGCAACTGGAGGTTGCGACTGACCGTTACAACATCACGGATGGTAACCGAAGCGGCAGTCGAGTCGCTGTGCGACTCGATAAACCGTTCCTGTAACTGTACTCTACAACTGCTTTCTTATCTTCTATATATTGCTGTATGCTTGTTTCTTTAATCAATCACTTGTTCTCACATACTAGTACAAGGGTTCAACTGCCTCAACTTCCGCTGCACTACTCCAAGTCTCTACAGCTGGGACTTAGTCTCTGCAAAAGATCCTAAGGGCAATTTTTTCAGCCCAACACTTACAAATCAGGGTAGGCAAATTTTGAACACTGAGCCCTCAGGGTAATTTTTTTTTTTTAGTCGACAGCTTAGGGGGGGTTTTTTTGAAACGTCAGGCCTGACTGTCGCCACATTGCCGAACCTACCCACGTTCCGAGGTTATCGCCCTAGTAAGCCAACTCCTATATAACCTTGTGCCTTCATTGCATTGCAATAGCGACCTGGTATCCTCACGTTGTAGTACATTGACACTTCCTAAATCGTAACACACTGCGTCATTGTTCAGTTTCATCCGGGTGCATGGGGTTACCAACCATTTTGCGCCGCGATATTGCTAGCAAAAAAACTCTCGCCTTGCAATTTGGGATCTGGGCTTTAAGACATCCAAGTAATGTAACAACTAGGTCTAAAAAACAGGCTCTTCATCTAAAAAATAAAATGTAATATTTCACAGCATTACGCCAGCCTCGCAATGCACCTAAGTTTCGAGGGTAACGGCCGATAGTCCATAGTTGCACAAAAGACGCCATAGTCGACATCAATTGCATGTTTGGGCTAACAAATCTGCTTCGGCATGTGCACCAGCATTAGTATGCGGCACATCTCCCATCCACACTCGGATCTTCCTTCCCCGCCCTCTGGGCTGTGCATCGACATCTAGCAGAGTTGTCATGAACTTGTACAATCCACTCTTCTTGCTGGTCGCACTGCCCCTGTTGCTGTTGCTGCTGCTGCTGTTGTTGCCGCTACCACTGCTGCTGCTGTTATTGCTGCTGCTGTTGTGCGCAATCATGATAGAAGAATCTTCTGAGGAAGATTCTTCCACGGGAGCCACCACATGCCACTCACTAGATGATGCAGGGGAAACTACAGGCAGGAAAAGGTTGGATGCTTTTAGGGACCTGACACCGCCAGCTGTCCTGCTGTCCACAGATGACATCACCCGGGTGCTGATGTCACGAGATGACGCGGCAAGTGCCTGGTGCTGCTGACGTGGCATGTGCTGCTGAGGGCGTAGCTCGTGCATGACCCTTTTCGGAGCAATGAACCTGGCGCTTCCTCCAACAGTGGGATTACGCGAGCCACTGTGAGTAGAGTTACCAGCATGCCACGTGGCATCAGCTCCCATGCTGTTACTTGCTCCTGTAGTGTTAGACGCTGCTCCTAAAATAACACTCTCTCCAATGATGTTCACACCACTGATGTCGTCCGAATCAGCAAATGCCGCGGTGTAGATGCCTCCACCACCCTCCGCATCGGCACCACCATTGTGACTGTATAGGACTCCCGGCCGAAGGGGAACGCTGGAGCAAGGAGCCAGAATTCCAGGAGAGGAGGAAGAATGGTGGAGGGGGCCCGGGTACATAACAGGGGGGGAGGAGGAAAGGAGGACCTGGCCTGGGAGCAGAGTGGGGCCTCCTGGGAGCAGGGCCCCTGGGTGCTGAGCCCCTGCGTGCCAGTGGTGCGGGCTCCCCAGGATCTCAGGGAACGACGCTGAATGGTGGAAGGATGGGCTGTTGCGGCTATGCATGTTGTGCATATGATTGGCGTTGTGCTGCTGCGGTATGTGCAGGGCGGGAGACGAAGGCTTGGAGTGGTGGCGGATCGCAGGGGAATGGTTCTGATGTGGCGGTTGCTGCTGCTGCTGCTGCTGCTGGTGCTGCTGCTGCTGCTGGTGGTGCTGCTGCTGCTGGTGGTGGTGGTGGTGGTGCTGCTGCTGGTCGGATTTCAGTTTGAACTCCTTGCTCAGGCGTTTGAGCTTCGGGTGGCCCTTGACAGTAGAGGAGGAGGAGGAGGAAGAGGGGGACTGGGAGCGGTGCACCAAGCCGAGGTGGTTTAGGAGCGAGCTTGAGAGGGACCGGAGGGTGGACCCGGGGTGTTTGTGCGCGCTAGGGGGAGGGTGCCTGTGTGCCGAGCACGCCGCGAGAGAGGCAGCGGAGTGAGAGGAGGAGAGGGTGGATGCAGACGGGGACGATGAGAGCTTGTGCTGGTGTGCTGCTGCTGCTCCTGTAGCACCTGTAGCACCTGTAGCACCAGTAGCACCTGTAGCAGCTGTAGCAGCATGGTTAGCGCCAGCAAAGCGCGGCTGGTTCAAGACGAGGTGCTCGGGCAGCCCGTGCGTGAGGTCGAGCTCTTCAATGCGGATGTTGGCTTGGTCCAGCCACGCGCAAGACGCTTCCAGTTCTGCGCGGAGGAAAGGGGGAGGGGAGGAAAGCACAAGCGAAACGAGGGTAAGCCCGTGCGCGAGGTCGAGCTCCTCTATTCGTATGTTGGCCTGATCTTACCACGCCTCCAGTTACGGTAGGGCACTCAAAGGGTGGATCGGGGGCGGAGGACTCCTCCCTTGGTGTTCGGAACAGGGTGTGAGGTCAGCCCGTGCGCGCACGCGGAAGCGAATCCACGTGCGCGCACACGCAGAAGCGAATCCACGTGCGCGCACACGCAGAAGCGAATCCACGTGCGCGCACACGCAGAAGCGACGCCAGGTACGCGTATGCTATTCAGATATGCCTCCTCGGCTCAGGAAATAAAATGTCCGCACGCACATTTCCAGGTGCGCGTATCGGTGAGGGAGTCTATTTTTTAGGCGCCTAAAGAATAGACTCCTCGGCTCAGGAAATGAGATGTACGCACGCACATTTCCAGGTGCGCGTATAAGAAACTTTCCACACAAGCACGCACCCGTCCTTCCGTATGTGAAGAGTCTATTTTTTAGTCGACTCAAAAAAAGACTCTTAACACACCAATAAAATTCACTGTAGGAAACTTTCCCCGCAAGGGAGGTCCGACCACGACGACCAGGGAGGAGTCCTCCTCGTGCGCTCCTCGATATGCAGTGCACCGACGCACTACAACCACCGCACAGCGCACCTACGCACCGTGCACTTCCACCTCCACACCATACGACACGCACCTGTCCAGCGGTTCGACTTCGGAAGCGACTCCAGGTACGCGTCGAGGTCCTCCTCCGCGCACGTCGCGTAGTCGTACTCGTTACAAGCCTCCTCGTTTTCATGATCCTCTGGCAGCAGAGTGAGCGGCTGGAAGCGGCAATCCCGAGGGGTTTCGCCTTCAGCCACTGCGCTCGCCCCTGCGAAAGGGAGGGGGGAGGGAAGGGGGGGTGGGAGGGGAGGGGGAGAACAGCAGTCAGATAAGGGCGAAAACGCGGAAAGGGCGGCAATCCCGAAGGATTTCGCCTTCCGCGACTTCGCTCGCCTCTGCGAACGGGAGAAGGGGGCCAGAGGTGGAACAACAGAGGTCAAATAAGAGCGACGGTGGCGGAAAAGGGCGGCGATCCCTCTGCGAATAAGGGCTCGCCTCTGCGAATAAGGGCGATCCCGCCTTCCGCGACTGCGCTCGCCCCTGCGAGAGGGAGGAGGGGGCCGCCGGGGGTGGAACAGCAGAGGTCAGATTAGGGCGAAAACGCGGCAAGGAGCGGCAGTCACGAGGAGTTTCGCCTTCCGCGACCCCGCGCTCGCCCCTGCGGACGGGAGGAGCGGGGAAAAGCGAGAAATGCTTCAGCAAAAGCTGTTTCGATAAGCTATTATAATGCATGAAGCAAGAAGCAGTGCCACAGTGAGTGGAGGTAGACCCAACAGGAAAGAGAAGGGAGAGCTTTCGTCACGGGGAGCCGGCGGCGAACCGGCCATGGTTTTTCTAACGCGGACCGCCGGGATCTGTCAGGAGCCACACGCGCCGCATCGGCGACTTTTGAATTGACTCAAAAGTCACCTGTTACCAGTCACCTGTTACCAGTTACATGTTACCAGTCACCTGTTACCAGTCACCTGTTACCAGTCACCTGTTACCAGGGCAACTGACCAGATCTGTCAGGGTTACATGTGGCGCGCCAGAGACTTCCGCGCCTTCGGCTGCACAGATGTGTGACGGTGTTATCGAGATCGTCCAATTCTCGTTAAGGCAGGAAGTTTCCGCGACTTTAACGAGTATACCTCTCACTACTACATTACAGCAGATGTCTCAGTATTCATTTGATTGCGTCACGCTTCACTACCCGTCGAAATCGATCAACGCGTTTAACGCGCAACGCACTCACATTGCTTGATGTCTTTGCGCTCCGGGCAGCGAGTGCGGAGTCACTCCCAGCATCGTTCCGCTCCTGCGGTTTCTGCACTACAATTATAAAAGGTCACGCTCGAAATGCGCCGCACTCACATTGCTCGATGTCTTTGCGCTCCGGGCACCAGCTGGTGTAGCGAGTGGAGTGGAAATCGGCGACAGTCGCCATGAAATCTGGCGACGATAATGCTTGGCGTCGGAGATGCTTGCGACGGTGATGCTTTTCGACAGCTGGCTCGGACCGAAATTGCGGACAACGGGAACCACGCGAGGAGAACAAATGGCTTTGAGCAGCCCGCGCGAACAACGCGAACGCTGAGGGTTTGGCAAAGGGAGACGGCAACCAGCGGGCGCTTGACGTGGTTACGGGAACCTAGCCTAGGTGGAATACGAGAGCGAGCAGTAATGTCGAGTCGTGCAGAAGTGACGGATTAAATAATTGCTTTACACAACAAAAACGCGGCGTGGCCACCATGGAAGGTCGAAAGAGACGAGACCAGAAAGGAGGATATGTGAAGGGCGGAAATTACCCCCGGTTCGAGGGTGGTGGAGGTAAGGCCGGGCCTCCAACCACACTGTACTTCGATTACGTTTAATTGAACCAGTTTTAACCGTACTAAAAGCTCGAACCTGGCTGGATTCCAAACCTGCTTTGAGGTTCATGTACTCTACCGCGCCCTCAGGGAAGCCGCGGAAAGGTGGGAAAAGGTAGGAATGCTGGGGAGGGGGAGTGTGCGGAAAGCGAACGCGGGGAATTCGAGAGCTGGAAAGTTCGCCCGCACGATCAGCGGCTCCAGGATTGCTGCAAGCTTGTCGTGTATCTGGTTCGCCAAACCGTCCACATGGAGGGGAAATTTGAATCCCAGCGCGCTGCGGTGGTTGTCTGACTAGGTCTCCCCTACCGAAAGCTCCGGCGCGCCGAGCCTTGGCCTTGGATGTGGTTTTGATGAGTTGAACACAGACAGCTGGTGGCTCGGTAAGAGCATGACTTGGCCGAGGCTAACAGTGCCTGACAGTAAAGGAAACCTGAAACTTTCCCGAGCCTCTAGTCTGGTTTGGCGGGCACCCAAGGGAATGCCAGGTTCGGGCAACACTTCTGGTAGCCACACCTCAAAAGGCGGCGACGATTCGATCTTCGAACCGCTACGCTTCTGGGGAACGCAAACCACACGACACGAGCGGCTAATATTTAAATGGTAACTACCGAGATGTATATACAGATAAGCAAAAGTTCAAGAGTTCAGATTTTTGTGACCCTTGAAAGAAAATGTACCAGTAGTAGCATGGAATCCGTGAGAGGAAAGCCCATTAGGATGCACCCTTCCGCTCCCTCCCTTGACCAAACAGCTCCTCCCCTACAATCGAGCCTAGAGCATTAAACGTCTCCCACTTGTCCTAGTAGCGGTCGACGCGGGAGCGCCTGAATCCAAACCTACCGCACTGCGCCCCACCTCCTACTCTTCTTGAGATATTCATCTGAACCAGATTAAATAAGGATGAGGCTCGTTTGAACCCTGAAAACTAAGCGTCTTACTACCATGAACTAAAAAATGTAAGGGTAGCCACAAACAAAACAAACAAGCCCTCCTTCAGACACGTGCGGGCAGCATTTCACTTGAAGTATCTCCGAAAATGTGGGGTCTTCAGCAGCAGCAGCAAACCACGTGGTTGGGTCAGGGAAAATCCCCCTTCCCTCCCTCCCCTCACCCAGAGGAATCAGATCGGCCCGCCGGCGCCGACGCCGACAGAACAAAACGAAACCATTGAATCGTCGAACGGGCACATGCGAGGGCTGATTCGATGGTGAAAAACAACCATACTTTTCATTGGCCAAGCAAGGATTAGACGCACACGATTGGTCGCAAAAAATGATGCCAGGTTGAGCAAGCATCATTTCACTCGCCACAGACGCATTCGATGTAAAATATGAGCACTGTCAGCTTTTACATTGCATTTGCTCCATACATATCGTAGTATGAACTTGAAATTTGAAATGAAATATTAAGCTCACCACTTCTTGTTGAAAGATTATGCAGGATGGATTATTTCAATAACCGGATGCGGGTTTATCTACTATCGCGGTTGATTTTTATGAAAGGTGAATCTAGAATAGAGAAGTATTTTTTTAATGTGCTTCTACAATTGAATGGGGATAAGTTGTGTTGGTTGGAAGCATAGAGCTGGCGAACCTTCTCTGGAGCGCAGTGGGTGCGGTGTGGGCCGAACGTTCAAAACCCACCTGGGCGGAAGTTTGATTGGGGTTTTCTGCATGGAAGCCACACGCGTTTGTCGCATTACTGCTACTGCTGCAAACAGTCTGTGCCATTTGGATGACCGAGGTTGGCTCCTGAGTGAAAGAGACAATATTGGTGATCTGTATGGGCTGTTATGTTTGTCGCTTACGAGCGACTTCGTTCTAAGGCTCTGGTGGCTCCTCTGCGCAGGCACCTGGAGTGTCGTCAAGAACAAAAATTGCCTTACATAGTCAGGACTTCTTTTATGTCGTCTAGGAGAATGATGGGCTGGCCACCTGAAACCCACACACGGAATCCCGCCGTTGTACAGTTCTGGTAACAAGTCCTCAACAACACGTCTGCTACACTCTCCAGCACTTCAGTGCACTGTCCAACTCTGCACTTCGCGCTGCCCGTCAGTCGTAACATCTTAGTCGAAACGTAGAAGAAACCGTGCTGGAACGTACCTCACCGATAGAACTACCTAGATTCCGCACATTACCGTACTGAGTGAACATGTGAGGGCAACACTTCCACCCTGCATCAGGCAAAGCGCACAATTTGCGCTTCTTACCCCTTCTCACCCGATTTCACCGCACCCCACTCATTCCGCCTCAAACTCCGTCCACTTATCGACACAAGCCATTCTCCTCCTCACCCTCATCCTTCCATCCCTTCGCCTGCTGCTGCCCCGCTTCCTCCTCCCAACTCTCCCTTCCCTATCACTACCCTCACGCACGCCGCATTTCCCGCTGTCAACGAGTACCTTGCGTGAAGTCGTCGCTTAGGCAAGGCGTGAGAGTAATTCCGTCGGAGCCTGACGCTACCCCCTCGAAACAATATCGATAGGATCCCAAATCTGCGCTTCTCGCACGCATCGCAAACCCTAGCTGTGTCCCTCCAAGCAGCACCAACCATGGCGTATCGCGCGCGCGTCGCGATGGTGATAGGAATAGCCCTGCTGGCATCCGCCTTATTACTTGTCGCCGACGGAGCGTCCACGAACGCCGGCGGCTCGACGAAAAATTCAGGCTCTAGCGGAACCACGTCTAGCGGGTCGTCTGCTACTAGCGGGACCACTTCTAGCGGGTCTTCAAGTTCCAGCGGGACTGCTTCTTCCGGGTCTACGAGCAGTACCGGGACCGCTAGTAGCGGATCAACGGCCTCGACCGGGTCAACAAAGTCTACGGGCACATCTGGGTCAACGGCCAGTCAGGGGTCAACGGGGTCAACTGGCAGCCAGGGCTCGACTGGCTCCTCGGCTTCCACAAATAACAACGGGAATACTGCTAGTAACGGAAACACCGCTAATAACGGGAACACTGCTAGTAACGGGAATACCGCTAGCAACGGGAATACCGCAGGTAACGGGAATACTGCTAATAACGGGAACACCGCAAGCAACGGCAACACCGGGAACAACGGAAACACTGCCTCAACTGGTTCTTCCGGTTCGTCAACGTCAACGTCAGCTTTTCTGTCGCTGCCGGTCAACGGGTGCTCTCCGTCAGCGTGCCAGAATCCGTCACTGGGATTCTACAAGGGAACGTTCCAGCAGGCGTCGAACGCGAACGCCGTTCAGAATATGAACCTCGGCGAATACGTACGTTCCGGACACTTGCTGTTATCGGGTCTGCCATTATCGGGGTTGCTGTTATCGAGTCTGCCGTTATCGGGTATATAGGTTACGCATTGTGGGGTATACACCGCCTTTGCTACCGTCGAAAGCGGGCGCCGTTCAGAACATGAGCCTCGGCGGCTACGTACATTGCGGATCGTTAGATTCTACTTCGGTATAGCGCGATGCTGTTATCGGGTATAGAAGCGATTGCCTACGGGAGGATACCGAGTATGGCGTGGGCGACAAAAGCGGACGTCGTTAAGAACATGAACTTCGGCGAATACGTACGTCGCGGGCCGTTGCTGTTACTGGGTCTGCCGTTATCGGGTATATAGGTTTACGCAATGTGGGGTATACCCCGCCAAGGCTAGCGTCGAACGCGGCCGCCGTTCAGAACATCAACCTCGGCGAACCGCTGCTGTTATCGGGTGTGCTGTTATCGGGTATACAGGCGAATATGTAGAGGAGGATTCCGCATACGGGGCGAGTGGCGAATGCGGCTCGTTCGGAGCATGAACGGTGGCGAATATCTATGTTGCCCAGAATATGCGGCGTCGCCGCGAATATTTTCGTCGCCGCGAACATGCACGTCGCGGAGAATTCAGGCCGTTATACAGGGAATCTGAATCTGGGGTCCTGTAGGTCGTCTGAGACTAAGGCGGTGCGCCTGGGTATAAGCGGTGCGCTTGGGTAAACGGCACGCAGGTCTCAACGGATCCTGCCGCATCCTCTGCTCACCTCGCCTTCCCTCCCCTCCTCCTTGCCCTACCCCCTCCCCTCACCACCTCCGCCCATCTCCGCCCACCCCCTATCCCTTCCCTCCGCCCATCTCCCCGCCCTGCGCGCCAGCTCCGACCTTGCGGCCTCTCCCTCCTCACCCCCTTTCCGCCTCTCCGCCTGTCTCTTTCCCCCGCGCCGCCTGTCTCTTTCCCCCGACCTCTCCTTTCCCCCTGCCCCTACAGGTGTACGGCATGCGCATCAGCTCCAGACTCACGCAGTCGTTTGCTATCCCGCACCTCCCCTCCTCCTCACCTCTTTCCCCCTCTCCCCCCCTCTCCCCCCCAACCCCCCGCTTTTCACCCCCCTTCCCCGCCGCAGGTGTACGGCACGCGCATCTGCTCCGATCTCGCCAAATCGTCCACTGATGTAAGCGCAGTACTAGAGCCCCTCTTCTCCTCTTCCCCCCCCCCCCCCCCACCCTTCTCTACAACTCTCCGCTCTTCTCTTCCCCCCTCCGCCCTTTTCGTCTCCCGCATTCCCCTCAAATACCCCTCCTCTCCCCTCCTCTCCCCTCCTCTCCCCTCCTCTCCCCTCCTCTCCCCTCCTCTCCCCTCCTCTCCTCTCCTCTCCCCTCCTCTCCCCCTTCCCCCTTCCCTCTTCCCCCTTCTCTCCCCCCTCCTTCCTCTCCCCTTCCCCCTGTCATGCCAAGTCGTTTCCCGAAAGCTGCACTGACTGCGCCAACACAGCCGCTTGCCTACGAGGCACCTCTGAAGCTCTCTCCCCTCCTCTCTTATCCTGAGTTCTCTCCTTCTCCCCTCACCCCCCTTCCCCCTCTCTCGCCAGGCCAAGTCGTTCCCCGACTGCTGCACCGACTGCGCCAACACCGCTGCTTGCCACTACTTCCAGTTCTACACTCCAGAGTAGGTCCTGCTATGCACGCACCGCTCTCCAGCGCATTGCACCAAACTCCACCCCACGCCCATGCTTTGATGCACCGTCCAACACCGCGGCTTGCCTCTACTTCCAGTTCTACACTCCCGCGTAGGTCCCCAGCCCCACTCATTGCACCCCGTTCCACCACTCTCGCCCACATATCACCGCACTCCACTGCAGTTTACCACACTATACCGCACTCCAGTAGGTTTCCCTCCTCTCCCCCCCCCTCCTCCCGCTCTTTCCCAAAGCCCCCCTTTCGTCGCTGTGCCTTCCGCCCCTGGCGGACAAGAGCCATTCTCTTGCTCTTGAGTCCCTTATTTCCGCCCCCCCTTCTCTCCCTCCCTCAGCTCCGTTTCTTCCGCCCCCGGCGGGCAGAAGCAGGGCTTCCTGCTCTCAGAACTCTCACTTACCCCTTCTCCTCTTCCTCTACCCTCCCCCCCTTCCGCACCTCCCCCCCTCCCCCCCCCTCAGCTCCATCTCTTCCGCCCCCGGCGGGCAGAAGCAGTGCTTCCTTCTCTCCGAGGCTCCAGCTGGTCTGGCTGTTAGCGGGGCTCTCAGCTAGTAAGTGCCAGTGCTTAGTTTAGTTGTGGGTGCATTTATGCTCTGATTCTACTTTCTGCTCTGTCGTTAAAAAAAAAAAAGGACAGCAACATGCATTCCTTAGCTCAATTGTTTTTATCTCCTACACCTGTTTCTGCCTGTGACCCTACTCCAGTGTATTCATGCATTCAATCTTTCAATTTCATCCGTTTCCTACACCTGCCTCTCCCTGTGACCCTACGCCAGTGTCGGCGGTTTCTGCAACCCCCCTGCTTCAGCCACTCAGCAGCAATCCCCCTCTACCACTTCCTCTGGCTCCACCTCCTCTTCCTCCTCCTCCTCTTCCTCCTCTGGCTCCACTACTTCCCCCACCGTTTCAGTCACATCCCCCCCTCCTCCCGGCGTGAAGGGCGATCCGCACTTCGTGGGGTGGGACGGCGTGCATTTCGATTTCACCGGCCAGCCCGGCCACAGCTATTGCATGCTCTCTGACAGCAACGTCCACGTCAACATGTATCTGGACGGATTCACGGAAACCAGCGCGAAAGGCGTTAAGGAGACGCACTCCTGGATCAAGGGCCTCGGGTTTATCACGCCTGGGCATAAGCTGGCTCTTTTTGCGAAAACGAGCGCGAGTCCCTCTCGAAACGGCGGGTATATGAAGCGGATCGTGCTTGACGGCCGGGAGTTTAATCTGACGGAGGGGACGAAATACGGGACGGCTGACGGGGAGATCGAGATCGAATTTGACGAAGCCGGCAGGAAGGAAGGGGATGAGGAGACGGACGTCTACACCGTTACTGTACGAGATACGATAAAGATTCTTCTTCGCATGCGCCCGGAAATTGGGGGAGTTCGCCGCCCGGACGATTCTTTTATCCATTTCTCGATGGAGATTTTAGACGAGCAGCTGTCTACACGCACCCATGGAATTCTCGGCCAAACACTGTACAATTTGAACAATCCCGAAGCGGCTCCTACCGGGTATGACGTGGAGTATAGTGGGGTGGTTTGGGCGTGGCAGGTGGTTGGAGCTGACGCGGAAAATTACATTCAGGGGAATCCGTCGGATTACGTCACGAGCCATCTGCTGACGTCGGATTGCAGATTCTCGAGGTTTTCCCGCCGGGGTCTGTTTCACTCGGCTCTGTCTCTTGGCTGCTGGCGGAAGGGATTCGTGTGCTGAGCTGGCATCAGGGGTTTCTGTTCTGAGGTAGTGCGAGAGTTTGGTGTGCTGAGGTGACACGAGGGGTTTGGATGCTGAGGTGGCACTAGGGTTTCGCGTGCTGCTTAGGAGGCATGCATGGTCATCCTGACAGGATAGCATGCTGATAGATGGCCCTTCTGACATCCTGAGTAGAACACTCCCAAGGTGTTGGAGAGCACAGGGGCCAGTGCATGAGGTGGTATGGAGGTAGGAGGACAACCATGGGCGTAAGTACTCGTTGGAATTGCTGGCTGGACGGGGCATTCCGGGAGAGTTTGCTTTATGCTGTTTGCTTGTATGGTTATGGTGAAGCTGAGAAAGGGGGTGACTGGAGGCTGGCTTATTGGTTATCTTTGTTGACATTTGTTAATTTCTTTGTTATTGTTATTGTCTCAAACCAGTAGCATCTGTATATTGGAGAAGGGAATGGCTGCATGGGAATGGTAGGCTTTGTTCAGTTGTAAGGTTGTGTATGGAAATGACATTTCCTTATCACGGGTTTTAATTAGTAAGGTGTGAAATAAATCGTATGGTGTTGTAGTAGACTAAGTATAAAACTATAAACACGAACGAGATGCCGCCGCGGGCTCATGGTGCAGCCGTCGCCCGTCCGCCTCGCCGCTGCGGCATTGACGTTGCGCTGTGGCGGCGTCTAGGGCAGCCGACGGCATCGTCGGGCTGCAGCTGGCCGAGCGACGTCTGTGGCGCCGCCGGACCTGCCGCCCGCTCGTCAGCCACGGGCGTCACTCAGGACGCCGTCCTCCCGCCAGTAAGCGCCGCGCCATTTATGGCACGTCGCTGAAGACTCGCCCCGCCCCCCCCCCCCCCATTCTCCCTTCCCCCTGCGTCTTCCCTTCCTCCTATCGCAGCTGCTGTCTTCTGCTCGGACGTTGCCACACCGCAGAGAGCCCTCAGCCGCGGCAGTCGCCGCCTGCCGTCAGCGACACAGCCGCCTTGAGCAAGAGCTCCGCCGCTGCTTCTCGCTGAGCCGCCCACACGTCGTAGGTTGCCTCTCGCCCGGGGGTGTCAACGCTTAGCACGAGGGTCAGATACCCGGCTAAGCACGAGCTTGAGTGTGTGCGGGGTTAGGGGGTGTGTTGGGTGGGTGTGTGACTACCAAGCCTATATCAAACTGAGAAGTGAATGATAGATAGAGGGAGAGTACAGATAGATATACCTAAGTGTTGTACCCTCTAAGAGGTGACCCTATACAGTCTATGCAAACATAACAAATACACATGTTTGACACACCCCCTAGACTGCATAGGGGAATGTCCTAAACAAGCAGCTCAGGGCGGCACTACTGGTCCAACCTCTGAGACAAGGGTCTAAGAGACCAGTCAGAAGGAGTACAGACATGGCAAGAACAAGACCAGGGCGGTACTACTAGTCCAACCACTGGGAGAGGACACAAGTCCAGTCTGAGTATACATATAAAGGACAGTACAAAGTCAAGGCCCTAGCAAGTGAGAGGCTACAGGAACTAGACCAAGCTGTACACAGTGCCGCTGATGATCTTTAGGCGCAAGCGCCTTCGTAAAGATATCAGCTGTGTTGGCACCTGAGGCCAAGTGTACTACGCGAGCCTGACGTCGCTGCTGTAGCTCACGCAGGAGGAAGTACCGCAACTGAATATGCTTCGCTCTGCCCTCGAGTCGAGGCTCCTGACACAGGAGGATCATGGCCCTGTTGTCAGCGAACAGGACCGGGGCAGAGCTAGGCTGCTCACCTAAGTCAGCGAGCAAGAAGGTCAGCCAGCGGAGCTCCTGTGCCGCCATGGCACCAACGTAGATCTCAGCCTCACAGCTGGACTGGGCAACAGACGAGGAGCGGGTAGCTCTCCACGAGACGGCACCTGAACCAAGGCTGAAGCAGTAGCCCTGGGTAGACCTGAGTGTCTCGGCGTCGTCTGCCCACGAAGCGTCAGTGTGTCCAGTAAGGACCACTGGCCTGCGTCCTCCTAGCACTAACCCCATGCCCGATGTACTAGCAAGATAACGCAAAACCCTCTTAGCGGCAGACCAGTGCTGCGGTCGGTGTCTGCCTGTGGCCACAAAGCGAGCCAGGATGCTGAGAGGGTATGCGAGATCTGGGCGAGTGCAAGTCATCAGGTACATGAGGCAACCCACCAGCTCTGCGTAGGGGCCGCTGGGCTCTACCGACTCCTCAGACACTGGAGCGGAGAGTCTGTGGTCTACAGGCAGAGGGGTGGGCTGTGCAGAGGAGAACTGAAGGCTGAACCTCTGAAGGACCTGGCGCACCAAGTGTGACTGAGTCAGGGTGATGGTGCGCGATGCTCTGTCCCTGGAGATCTGCAAGCCAAGGTAGCGGCGCAGTTCTCCAAGGTCAGTGCACGTGTGTCTCTTCAGCAGCTCTGCCTTCACGGAGGCCAGTGCGTCCCTGTCTGCTGTGGCAAAGACCAGGTCGTTGACGTAAACAAGGATGTAGAACGGAGTCTGGCCAGCACGAACGAAGAGTGAGGGGTCTGCGGAAGACGGAAAGAACTGCAGGTCAGCAAGCGTAGCACGGAGAGTGTCGTGCCACTCACGGGGAGCCTGGCGCAAGCCGTAGACGGGGCGCTGCAGGAGCCACTGGGTCCCAGGAGGGAAGGTTCCAGTAAAGCCCTGAGGGCGACGCAGTGGGGGGCGACGGGGCCGGGCAGGGCGCGACGGGGCCTGAAGGCTTGATGGGGCCCAGGAGGGGCGCTACGGGGCCCAGGAGGGGCGTTACGGGGCCCAGGAGGGGCACTACGGGGCCCAGGAGGGGCCCAGGAGGGGGCGCTACGGGGCCCAGGAGGGGGACTACGGGGCCCAGGAGGGGCCCAGGAGGGGCGCGACGGGGCCCAGGAGGGGCGCTACGGGGCCCAGGAGGGGCACTACGGGGCCCAGGAGGGGCGCTACGGGGCCCAGGAGGGGCACTACGGGGCCCAGGAGGGGCGTTACGGGGCCCAGGAGGGGCACTACTGGGCCCAGGAGGGGCCCAGGAGGGGCGCGACGGGGCCCAGGAGAGGGGCGAGGAGGTCGCGACGGGGCTAGGGGGTCGCGACGGGGCTAGGGGGTCGCGACGGGGCCCAGGGGGTCGCGACTGGGACGAGGGGGTCGCGACGGGGCCCAGGAGGGGCGCGGCAGGGCTAGGGGCACGACGGGACCCAGTGGGTCGCGACGGGGCTAGGGGGGAGGCACGGCGGGGCCTAGCTAGGGGACGAGCGGAAGCGGTGGGTGGGGGGATCCTAACCTACGCGTGATACCATATCAAACTGAGAAGTGAATGATAGATAGAGGGAGAGTACAGATAGATATACCTAAGTGTTGTACCCTCTAAGATGTGACCCTATACAGTCTATGCAAACATAACAAATACACATGTTTGACAAACTGGGTAGTTGTCATCAACTGCGCTTCTTCGAATAGTTCCTGTAAGTAAAGTCCTTCGCGTGTTGCTGTGCAGACGGCAATAAACTCAGCTTCAGCAGAGGAGAGTGCAATCAGCTCCTGCTTTGTAGAATTCCAAGAGATAGGTCCGATAGGTTCCAGTCGATCGATGAACCCAGTGCGCGACCGTCGATTAGTAGAGTCAGCAGCGTGATCGGCGTCGACAAAACCATGTAGGTAGAGCGTTTTACAATTGATGACGTTGTAGACTAGACCGACGTCAGGTGTCGAGATAAAATATTGAAGCGCGCGGAGAAGACCAAGCTGATGCTCTTCCTCAGGACGGCGTAGGAACTGAGCGAGCTGACTGGCCGCATAGGCTAGATCAGGACGACAAGTGACAGCGGTGAAGAGTAGACAGCTTAGCTGCTGTTGATAGATCTGTAAACCAGTTGAAGTTAACAGTGCTGTGTTCGGTTTGTAGTCAGTCGGTAGTGAGCGGTACGGTATAGAGACTGCAATAGAAGTGAGATTGAAGCGGGCAGCGAGTGTTGCTACATATTTCAAAGCGGTGAGATGAATAGTCGTCGGTGAACAGGTAATGTTCAGACCAAGAAACTGTGAGACTGTTTCGGAGATAGTAAGCTGTAAAGTTTTCTGTAATTTCAGTATGAAGATATCGGCAAGAGAATCGGTAGTACTGACGAATAGGATGTCATCGACGTAGGCGACGAGTAAAATATAGTTGTTGCCATCGGTCAGTAGATACATTCCCTGGTCATGCGGTAGTTGACGAAAACCGGCAGTGATCAGTTGTGAGTGGAGATACTGCTGCCAGAGCCGTGGTGCCTGTTTCATGCCGTATAGGGATTTTCGGAGACGGCAAATGCTCGGTGGGTTAGTAGTATAGGAATGCGGGTACTCTACCAGGATAAGTGCGTCAACAGGCGCGTAGAGAAACGCATTCGACACGTTGATTTGTTGAAGTCGAAGATTACGGCAGGCGGCGACACAAAGTAGAATCCGAACGCTTGTATGCCGGCCGACAGGAGCAAAAGTTAATTCGTAGTCGATGTCGTAAGTCTGTTCGAACCCGCGGACGACCCATCGCGCCTTGAATTTCTCAAACGACCCATCTGCATTAGTCTTGACGCGGAAGACCCATTTTCCGGTAAGTACCTTCTTCCCTTTTACTTCTAAAGTCGGTATTAAATCCCATGTGCCGCGATTCTTGAGTGCTGCTAGCTCCTTGTCCATGGCTTCGCGCCATTTTTCTCGGTGAGGACTCGTAAGAGCTTGTGGAACGGTTTTCGGTTCAGGTATTTTACTGTCGTTGTACTGTACTGCGACTGCGAACCCCAGTATTTGTAATCATGTTTCTGTAAAGCGCGGACGTTCTTCGTTTGCACCTGCAAAATTTTCTTCTGGTCCTTCTTCCCCCCCAATTTCGTCAGGTGTAACACGAACGGCTTCGTCGGAGACGACGGGCATCGGCTGTTGTTGGCGATCTCGTTCGTAACTGAGATGAACTTCGCGAACATCATCCTGGTCAGCATCTGCAAGAGGAATGAATTCAGGTATGCCGGTCGAGGTGACAGGTTCGGGAATGTCTGTTGCGGCAGCTTCGGAAGCTTCAGAAACATCCTCGTCCTGTACATCAGCTTCGGCTTCGTCAGTTGCAAATGCACGCGAGCCTTCGAACAGCCTGGCAGGGTTGGCAGCTGCTGCCTGGTGAGCACGAAAAACGGGCAAGGTGAGTCTTTCATAGAAAAGACAATCACGTGATGGAACGACTTGATTGGAGCGGAGATCCAAAATCTTCCACGCGTGATACTATTTCTCGATGCCGAGATGTACCCCCCATTTTGCTCGTTCGGAAAAATTTCCGAGTGCTGCGGTTGGAGGACGAAACTGTACAACACACCCGAAAACTCGTAAACGTTTTCTGCTACCCAATGTACGTGTCCACTGCAGGTGTGGAGAAGAGAACTCGGGATGCCATATATCTTCTGGTGCTTTGTGTCCTGATGAGCGCAGGTAGAAATCGGCGTTAGTATAAAAAGAAGAAAGAATGAAAGGAGAAAGCGCTGGAGACTTGTCAATGTCTCCTTCGACGAAACGGGTAAGAGGTAACGTGACATTTGTTGGTGCTGTTGAAGTTGCGAGTATAACTTGTGACACTGCTTCTGTCAAAGTCGTGGCAGGTATGTCGACGACAGCTACTATTGGACTTGGCTGCGCAGCTACTGCTTCCTATTCGGCTTCTTCAACGACGTCAGGTTCATCAGTTGCAAGACCACTTATCTCTCCCCAAAGTGGTGCTGGAGTTCCTTGGAAGGCTGCACGGGTATTATAAAACGTTCGCCACGCAGTGGCATTTTCATCGGCGGTATTGAACTCCCAGGTATCCAACGCGGTAAGTACGGCTGCTGCAGTTCGAGAAGTTGTTGGTACAGTAGTTGCTCGAAAATCAATATCCACGCGTTGATAATCTGTTTCTTCTGGGTGATCCCAGGGACCAAGTGCATGGACGCGTTCAGAATCACCAGAAGTTCCCTGTGCTGCGAACTGAAGAACGGATATGCCATGTTGAGTGGCGGCACGACCAAGATAATTATTCGTCGAACTGTGCCAGAGCTCCTGATCCATCGTGTCACAATTGCCCTGTGTGCAGATTTTGTGTGCCAGGAGTTGAGCCGTGGAAAGAAGATTGAAGCCAAGACTGGCGACGATAAGAACATTAGTAACATGAAGTGAGTATCCCGTGTCGATAGATTCGAGCATGACACTTCCAACTGCTCGTGCCATAATAGTTTGTCCGTTTGCGACTGTTACAGGTATCGGACGACGAAGTGGACGTTGATTGGTAATGAAGCTTGTTTCTGCTGAGCACATGTGCCAACCGCAGCAACTGTCAAGATACCAGGTATTCGGACCTGAAATTATTCAAGCGAGGTTAGCGTAAACTTGAGGTAAAGGAATGCCTTCAGCACTTGTGGTTTCTTCAAGTCGTGTATCGAAATCTGTTTCTGAAACATCAACTGTTGTAACACATCCGAAAACGCCTTTTCCTGATGTGGCAGATGCGAAGACTGGCGGGCGGTGCTGAGACGTCGACGGATTCTGCGGCGGTTTCGGCATCTGCTGCTGCTGAGACGTTAACTGCTGTTGTGGTTGTTGTGTCTTCGGTAACTGCTGCGATCGGTGATACGGCTGTGAAGTGCTGCGACGATTTTGATGACGGCTGCGACAGTTTTGGTAAGTATGTCCTGGTTTCTTACAGAAATGGCAGAATGGATACTTTGGTGGATGTCGATGTTGTGTTTCTGGATTAGAGTAAAAACTCAACTGTAGTCCCTTTTTCTGATTGCGTTGTGACTGCAGGTCAAGATCTTGCTGCTCTGCTTGAAGATAAGAAGAAATTTCGGCTTCGGAGAGATTGGGATTCATACGCAGGAAGGCGCGCGTCTGTCGCCATTCGGGTCCAAGACCAGCCAGAAGTACCGTGAGATACATCTCACGAGGGAAGTATCCTCCGCTCTTCTCCAGTTGATCTCATAGTGTACGGACACGGTTAACGTAGTCCATGACGTTTTCACTTGTCATCATCTGCACACTTGTCAGCTGCGAAAGTATTTTACTCACTGTTATCGTATCCTTTGCCATGTATACCCCTTTTAGATGGTTCCATGCAGTTTCGGCTGGTGTGAAACTTGAGTGAAATGATCGAACGCCGAGCTGCTCCTTCGGCAACAAGTTCCATACAAGAACTGTATACGCCCCGAGAGAGGCGTGCAAGAAAATCTGTTGCTCCAGTTGTGTTCCCATGACAGGGTACGTAAATTCGCCAGTGAAGAACGGCCATAGCCCAGCGGACTGCGCCAGAAGTTCAAACTCAAAGCTCCAGGAGTAGAAGTCAACACCATTAAAAGGTACGGTTGTCTTGATCTGAGTATTGTTAAGTAAATTTGGAGGCTGAAAAACAATGCCTGGCTGTTGCTGTTGTTGCTGTTGCTGTTGTTGCTGTTGCTGTTGTTGTTGCTGTTGCTGTTGTTGTTGTTGTTGTTGTTGTTGTTGTTGTTGTTGTTGTTGTTGTTGTTGTTGTTGTTGTTGTTGTTGTTGTTGTTGTTGTTGTTGTTGTTGTTGTTGTTGTTGTTGTTGTTGTTGTTGTTGTTGTTGTTGTTGTTGTTGTTGTTGTTGTTGTTGTTGTTGTTGTTGTTGTTGTTGTTGTTGTTGTTGATGTTGCTGTACTTGCTGTGGTTGCTGATACTGCTGTTGTTGCTGCTGAGCAGGGGAACGACCGAAGATATAGAAAGGATGCTGAAACTGCTGCGACTGCGGCTGCTGTACGAAAGGTGAGAAAGCGAACGAACCAGTACTTGGAGCTGTAGCTCCACGCATGTAACTTGAGCCGTCAAGGCTCATTCCACTGAACGCAGATGAAATCGATTGCGTTGAAACTGGTGGCTGTACTGACGCTTGTTGCTGTGCTGTTGCTTGTGATTGTTGCTGTTGCGCTGCAGGTGCAGTCGATGGAGCACCTGGAGTATTCACAGAAGGCGGATTCTGCTGTTGAATACCGATATTAGCATAGGCTGGTGGAAAGTGCCCAGAGGCTGAGAGACCAGCGGCGGTAGTGGAGGCATATGCTCCAGTAGTCCCAGTAACTGATCCAGCAGATGGTGCTGGTGATGAACCAGTCTTAGTTGACGGTAGTCTTAATTCCAGATAGCTCTCATACCATGAAATAAATCGTATGGTGTTGTAGTAGACAAATTATAAAACTATAAACACGAACACTTGGCAAATCCTCAAGTGTTGGTCTAGGATCTTTGCTGGAATGGTAGACTAGTAAGACAGCGGAAGTCTTGTAAAATATAAAGGTCAAGGTTGAATAACCTAAGTACGTGAACTTGTGAGTAATCAAAGTTAATAATAAAAAGGCCTAACAAGTATTTATAGTTATACGAAAAGTACCTATTCGCTAATGTACCTGTTCGTCACTATCGTGCTATGCGCTCTAAACGATAATGAAGAGGTGCGACTGTTCGCGTGACTGAAACGACTGTCCTATGACGAGCGCTATTTGCTGACGTCATCCTACGGACTTATCTTCTACAGTATGAATCGACACTAACTACACTTAATCAACTTACAGAAATGTTAAGTATCAATTATATCACAACAAGGTGAACACTGCTATAATGGGCTTTCCCCCATGGTCCTCTTTTACAGACAAAAACTGTCTAAATGCCTGATTTTCAAACTGGATTTTTAGACTTCGTCTGGTTCGTCAGACAAGAAATATTTTTTGTCTGATTGGCTTAGACAAGGTTTTATATTGTTTAGACAAGTGTTTCTACCTTGTCTGCATCGACCAGGGTCCTAAATAGCAGACTTTTTTTGTCCGATTGTCTGATTTTCAGACTGGTTTATAGGGGTTTCTCTGATTTTTCAGACAACGGTTTGAAAAAACTATGATTGGCCTAGACAAGCTTTTAATATTTCTCTGAATTTCTCAAACTAGGTGTACCAGTTTCTCTGATTTTTAGACAAGTGAATCGAGTTTCTCTGAAATAGAGACATAGATGTTACCTGGCTCCCACGCAAGTCTTCACTGTTTCGCACCCCCACACATCGCTCCCCCCTCGGCGTCCTTTGCGTTGTCCTCCTCACGCGTGACGTGAGCCTTCCCGAGACTTCCTTGAGAACATGTGATGTGGCAAGAGCACCTGTGATTGGACACTTAGGGCGTGTCCCAAGAGTACGTCCAGCAAAATCTGAATGCGTTGGAGTAGGTGCAACACGCTTGGAACCGGTTTTCGCGCTCCACCGCTTCGAAACTCAAGGAAACGAAGTGGACCGTATAAAAAGTACGGGGGGCGTACTCTTAGGACACGCCCTTAGCGGTTTTGCTGCAAAGCAGACCAGTCACGACCCTCAGCAATTGGACGCTTAGTGGTTCTGCTCGTTTATAACCCGCAACCGCTAATTAGTCGAAGTGCTGCAAGTCTCATCATCTCATACAAACAGACTATGCAAATACATTTCTCTGTATTTTCAGACATTCGTTCTAGAATTCTCTGAAAAATCAGACAACTTTTTCATACTTCTCTGATAGTGAAAAGCGCACCAGACAAAGTGCGCAAACCTTGCCTGATTCCTCAGACACGTTTTTTTCCAAAAGAGAACCCTGGCATCGACTAACATCAGGTTGCATCCCCTCCCCACAGCATGCCTCGAGGCCGCGATCGGTTGTCCCCACGTGTTGTGACTAGACACTTGGTTTCAGCGGAGTGTCAAAATCGAACACTACTCTCCCTCTGTTTCTGCGCAGGGTCTCTTCAGCTTTGCGAAACTGTTTCGAAACTAGCGGGAGAGGAAAATAGCCCTTTAGAAGTGGTGGCGGAACTAAGGGTGTAAGGAATTACGATTCCTTCCTGGGGCTCGCCACAGCGAGTACACGCGAACAGTGCGCGTCCGCAAGCTCAGCCCTTGGTTATCGCGCCAAACCAGCCCCCAACGACCTTTTCGGCCCCAACCTGACCCCGAGTCGCCCCGAACCCGTTTTGACCCCGTCACCCTTGGGACTACCGTACCGAGCCCGTGACTGGTCCAACCCTCGACATTCAACCTGGTCAACTCGCACTATATAAGCCCTAGGTCTCATTTGGATAGATCATTCTGTAATCACGTCCCCCTTTTAGTATTCTGCACTATACTCTGAGTTATAATTCATAACAGCTGGTATCAAAGCTACGTTCCTACCCATTAGGCTTCCAGTAGGGGAGCAGACCCTATCGGGGAAGGGGGCGGAAGGATGCTGATGGCGAGCGGACGTCGCGAAAGTTAATTGCGCGGGCGTTGCTGATGCCGTCAGATCCTGTCCGATGGACGGCTGGGATTGGCCGGTCCTCTCCTTCCCTGGTCGTAGACGGAATTATTTCCCGTCGAAGAGTGGACGACGTTTTTGCCGTATTTTTTGGGTGTGTTCGTTATAGCTTTCGGAATTTTCGGGTGTTCGGACGGAGTCTTCGGATTGGCTTCTGAAAAAAACGAAGGTTTCGTCATGAAGAGACAAGTGCACGGGAGTCCTCAGGCGGCCCGGAGTTGGTCGTCAGGAGCGCGCGGGGTGGCGAAAATGGCGGGATGTACGGCGATGTATGTCTGGCACGCCATGCAGCAGCCAGGTGAACTGTAGCTGTGTCGCGGGTCCCGGCGTTTTCGGCAGACTAGTTGAAGGCAATGGATGGGACTTCGACACTATTTTGGCAATGGGCGGATCCGACAAATTCAGAATGACACGATCGCACGAAGTTGTGTGGGTGTGCAGTTGTGTGGGAGCAGCTGGGATTAACAACCTCGGCGCTATACACCACAACGGCCATCTGGAAGTGATGACGCTGTGCTAGAGTGAGTGTAGTTAGCGAGGGCGACTTCCCGCGTGGGGAGGCATTTTTTTTGGACCAGCGATTCATACCCCCACGATCAATGGAAACGGAGGCCACCACCCCAATGTGTGTATTAAGTGTTTTCTACCGGTCACCGAATGAGTTAACTGTCAGGAGTTGAAGCAGTGGGAGAAGAACGATGGGAGTACTGGAGCAGATGGGTTAGCGGCGTTCAGGCTGCTACTCGCTCAGCTACGTCGCCCCAAAATCACCATTCCCACCAGGTAGCAGTGCCGACTTATAAATCGACGGCTTCTGGATGAATAAGGGGGGTGAACCTGCAAACTACACAGTGCTGATGGAGTGTCCCAGAAAATTTCGGCGTTACTGTTGCAGGGAGCTGAGGGTTTTTACCTGGTGCAGCAGAAGGAGGTTCCGACGTTTGCGGGTGTAGTTTGACGAGTTTCCGATGGAGGAGGGAGCTATCCAGCAGTCAGTAGGCGAGCTCGTTAAAGCTCCTCTAACTAGAAGCGTGCGCGCTCCTATCTCTGCGGATTCTCCTAGTTAGTTAAGCAGCAACGAAGCAGTTTTTGGGTAACCTGCAGCAGCCGCGAGATGGGTGAACGTCTGCACGTCCAGCTGGACAGGGGTACCGGAGTATTTTAGAAATGGGTAACAGCTGAGAGGAGATCAACGGCGAGTGATGTGCATTGACCCTGATCGACAGCCAAAACATCATGCCGAGGCGGTGGACTCAGGTAAACCCTAAGATAAATGGTTCAGTTCATGCGTACAGCTGGTGGAGAAACCGTAGGGGCGCTGCAAAAGGACGCCGTGACGCCTGGGCACTTTTACAGTTAGTTGTAAAGCGGAGTTAAGGTATTTCTTAAGTACCGAGTGGTTCCGACATTTTCGGTGCGTTTGAGGAGCAGTTCAAGAGTTTACAGCTGGAGTTGTGCCCACCATCTTTAGGGGTACGAGCGACATCGACCGACATTTGCGGAGTGTTTTGGTTATATGGCGCAGAGGGAGAGCAGTAGCAGTTTTCAGCTCTTCCCGAAATTTTCGGCGTGTACGGACAAAGAAACTGATGCAGCTGGTGTCATTTGAAATCGGGTTCTGTTCGAGGATATTCACAGGAGTGGTTCGGTACAGGCTACAGGTCATCGCCATTGTCGTCAGCCTCTCGCCACCACCCGCTACCACCTCCTTTCTCAATTCGCTTGATTGTGTGAACACGACCCCGCCCTGGGAGGACCTGAGGGTCTCAGCGTCATCTGCCCAAGAAGCGTTAGTGTGCCCAGTAAGGACCACTGGCTTGCGTCCTTCCAACACTAGCCCCATGCCCGATGTACTCGCAAGATAACGCAAAACCCTCTTAGCGGCCGACCAGTGCTGGGGTCGGTGTCTGCCTGTGGCCACAAAGCGAGCCAGGATGCTGAGAGGGTATGCGAGATCTGGACGAGTGCAAGTCATCAGGTACATGAGGCAACCCACTAGCTCTGCGTAAGGACCACTGGGCTCTACTGAATCCTCAGAAACTGAAGCAGAGAGCCTGTGGTCTACTGTCAGAGGTGTGGGTTGTGCGGAGGAGAACTGAAGACCGAACCTCTGAAGGACCTGGCGCACCAAGTGTGACTGTATAAGAGTGATGGTGCATTGTGCTCTGTCCCTGGAGATCTGCAGGCCAAGGTAGTGGCGCAGCTCTCCTACGTCAGTGCAGGAGTGTTTCCTCAGCAGCTCAGCCTTCACGGAGGCTAGTGCGTCTCTGTCTACAGTAGCGAAGACCACGTCATCTACGTAGACAAGGATGTAGAATGGAGTCTGGCCAGCACAAACGAAGAGCGAGGGTTCTGCAGAGGACAGAAAGAACTGCAGGTCAGCTAGTGTAGCACGCATTGTGTCGTGCCACTTACGGGGTGCTTGTTGCAGGCCGTAGACCGGGCGCCGGAGGGGCCACTGGGTCCCAGGAGGGAAGGTACCAGTAAAGCCCTGAGGACGGTGCAGGTAGACCTGCTCGTGTAAGGTGCCCTGAAGAAAAGCAGTGGAGAATTCGAGGGAGTGAAGCTCGTAGTCAAGCTGTGCTGCTCTGTGTAGCATTGCCGGAAGAGTAGTCATCTTCGAGGTCGGGGCGAAGGTCTGAAAGAAGTCCACACCCTCGCGCTGACTGAAGCCTCGAGCCATGTAGCGCGCCTTGAACACAGGCGGCTCTCCAAGGGGGCGCTTCACCTTGAAGAGCGACTGGCCATCGACTACGTTCACCCCAGGTGGGGGAACTGCGTCGACGTAGGTGCCGGTGGATCTCCAAGAAGCCATCTCCTGCTCAATGGCAGCTCTCCACTGAGAGGCCCAGGGTCCCGAGGTCGC